ACCAGCACCAGCACCAGCACCAGCACCAGCACCAGCACCTGCACCTGCACCTGCACCTGCACCTGCACCTGCACCTGCACCTGCACCTGCACCTGCACCTGCACCTGCACCTGCACCTGCACCTGCACCAGCAGCTGCTGCAGCAGCACAGCCGCAGCCGCAACAGCAACAACTACATCAACAGCAACAGCAATGGCTTTTCCTTTGTTGCTGCTCTGCTCCTGCTCCTCCTCATGCCCCACCTTGGAATGCCAATAGCGATGCTGACGTTAGTGTCAGCCTTCATGTAGTGACTTATGCTAACAAAATGCAGACCACTCCAGCTACTGATGTGCAATCCTGCAAGGTAACATTATCATTTCGAGCTGGGTGGATGGATCCTACCACGGAAGACATGGCCTCAGACCTGAGACTACCGTGAGAAACATGCAAAGACTGCGACTCTTCATCCCCTGTTACGATCCTTGAGGCGCCCAAATCTATGCAGAACAGCAAAGAGGGGAGGTCCTGAAGAACATGACTCCGAGACTAATGTCCTCAATGCAGGACGGGGGCTGGTAATCATGCCGGCGGTGAGTTTGTTCCAGTGATGGTGGCCTGGTTTTGACTTGTGACTATCCATGATTATGCATGCAGGCTGTTTCGTGGAGAGTGTGCTCCAAGTATAGGGCAAGATACTTCAGCAAGAAAGCAACACCTCCCCAAGGGCACGAAGATGGCAAGAATGCATAGCAAAAACCGGACAAACTTCGCTACTTCAGTCCTGCTCCAGGATCATGTTCCTCCCGTCACCGGTTGAAGATCTTCTCTGACTTTTCAGATATGCGGACGGTCCTTCAATGCCTGAGCCCTTGTGCAGATCTACAAACTCGTCCTTGAGGAGCTGCACCTGGTCATGATTTGTACAGCCTGCAGTGTCGACCCTGCATGCAGAAAAGTCATTATCCCATGAATTGTCAAGGTGCGATTCAGCTTTGCCCGTTGGTCGTTTGGCGATCAGGCGAAGGATCATTGAGTAGGCAATGACTCGAGCCAGTTGCTCGCCGCACCCTCGTCACGCACGGCATTTCAGCCAAATGGCCCAGGAAACTTGGGCAATGCAGCAGCAACATTCAGGAATAACCTCACTGGACGAGAGTTGGGCGGGATCGAACTGTGGCATCCAGCAGTCTTCAACTGCCTAAGTTGCCTCCGTGCTTTTTTAATGTTCTGAGCGGGATCATGGCCACGATGTGTTAGCATCTGATGGAGATTCGAAGCTGACTGGATGGAGTCATGTAACATTGCCACGCAATGGCCGTGAACTCGACATTTTTGTCGGCGATGCTGGCATGACCAATGCTCATGCTCGGACCCGGCTCGGCCGGCTTATAAGAGAGCTCCGGCACTGTGTGGGCCAGAGCACTTGGCGAAGCCATGTGGAGTGTCTCACAACCGTTGCAAGGAGGGCAAACTTGTCAGCTTAGAGCAGCTTGATTAAGGCAATGTATTTCATGATTTCATGACTGAAATGGCCGTATCGCAATGTGCATCTTGCACAGGTAGAGAGCAAGAAGCAGAGGAAGTCTGGAACCCAGCTCCTTCCCCTGTTTGGAGCTTTCTCTGTCTGCGTGGGATTGCACAGGTCTTCGTAGAATTTAGAAGCGTCGTTGACTCGGATGGGCATTTCCTCGTGTTATGATTCAGAAATATACCGTGGAGGCAGTTCGGAATCTGACACGCTTGGCTCTGGGAGCACTAATCAAATTGGGGAAAGCGTGTATTCCCCCAAACAAACCCTTAAACGAAACCGGCGAATTTCGGTCGAAACAAGCTTGAATTGCAATATGTTTAGGGGAAGATATTCTTGCGCAATATATTTAGTGTCCACGTCGCTTCTGCGTGCCATCACTGAATGTACCAAAGCTGCTACATGTGACGTCTGCGTCAGCTTCTAGGCCCAACGAGTTCCAGTTCGAGGGTCTGCGCAAGTAGAGCTGAACACCTGATGGCTGTTTGATCTCGGATTAATTCTCGGATTCGGCGTTGGCGTGAACTCTTGCGCTGAATCTGCAAAGAACATTGGATGATCCTGTCAGGAGCTCCTCAAGCAGCCGACGCAAGGACACCTGGGGGTTGTTCAAGGGGTCTGCAGTGTCTGCAGTCTTCGACGACCGGCGGTGCTTGCGACGTGGCAGGAGAGAGCATCGAGTACTTCAGCCACACGTTCCAAGGTGCTTTCGCGATCCTGCAGCTGTTGCCCTTGGTCACGACAATGCTTGCGTGTTGGTGCTGGAGCAGGCGAGCGACACCAGGAAAGACAAGAAGGAGAAGGAGAAGAAGGACAGACATAAGGACACAGAGAAAGCAAAGAAGGAGAAGGAGAAGGATAACAAAGACAAGCAGAAGAATCACAAAGACAAGGCCAAAGAGAAGAAAGACAAGGATCGAGACAAGGAGAAAGACAAGGACAGAGAGAAAGCTGACAAAGAAAAGGACAGAACAAAGGAAAAGGAAGAGAAGCTCCACCAGAGAGAGGACAAGGAGAAGGACACACAGAAGGACAAAGAGCCCTCGGAGACTGCAAGAGTGGAAAATGCTGAGAAGGACAAGGACAAAGAACTTGTTAAGGAGAAGGCGAGGGAAAACACTAAGGACAGCGAGAAGGACAAGGACAAACAAAGAGACAAGGACAAGGACAAGGATCGGGAAAGAGAGAAGGCGAGGGAACGGGAGAAGGACAAAGATAGGGACAGGGACAAGGAGAAGGAAAAGGAGAAGACGAAGGACAAGCAAAAGGATAAGGATAAAACGAAGAAACGACGCAGGCCAGTGCTGCTGCATCCGCCGATATCCACCGGCACATTTCACGGGCAATGAAACCGCTTCCCGTTGCTCAGCACCTCCTCATCTTCCTCGAGCCGGCCCAGGTTTCCGCCGGGTTTTCCGTGCTGTCATGACTTGCTGTCCTGGCTGGGAAGCGGGAAGCCAGAGAGAAGAGAGCCGAGTTTCGACGCTAGTCACTGCTAGTCCAGCCTCAGAATGCCAGGAAGTCCAAAGCTAAGAAGAAAGACGACAAGTCCGAGGCGGGAGATGCAGACTTCAAATGTCTGCGCTGGGAAAGCAGCTTCGAGAGCTTTGACCTTCGACATGCTACCGGGGATGCCGTGCGCCGTGTGTTTCCTTAATGATAACAATTGTGCTGAAAAACGTGGAGTTTGGCTGCCTGCCCAGGCAAAAGACAAGCCAAAGCACAGCCCGTGGCTCAGAGGCTGCGGGTGTGTGGTTTGGGGAGATGGTGTGGGTATGTGTGGGTTTTGAGGCGCAAAAAACAATCCCTGATAGGCCGGTCAAGCCAGCTTCAAGTAACCTGATTCTGCACCAAGGTGATAACGGCGAGAGGGACCGGAGGAAGAAGTCGTCGCGAAGTTCCAGCAGCAGCTCAAGCAGCCGACGGCAGCGCAGAAAGCGAAAAGAGCGCGAGAAGGACTGCCTGCTTTTTTTTGAAAAGCTGCTCGGAAGGCCTAAAGGTGATGCTGTTCGTTCAGTGTTGTGCATGCCTTGTTAGACTAGCTTGGCTGGCCGGCAGGAGCGGAGGAAAAGGAAAGACAAAAAATCCCAAAGGCCCGATCCGCAGCACTCTCTACTTGATACATGTATTTCGGAGTGCCTGATCGAGACGGCGTAGCGCTTGACTTCGACATGGGTGTCAGGGAGTTCATGCAAATGTCAGGTCTTCAGGCTTGGATCGCGTCATGGGGTGCCGAAATGTGCGAAGTCGAATGAATCGGCCAGTTGCTACACAGTTTCACTTAGTTAGTTTGTTATGTTAGACGGATGTGCTGGAATCCACTGTTACGGTGACCTGTCTGGGCTGTTCGTCCTCAGAGGAGCTAAGGCAGATTCGAGACTCCTAGTTACGCCCTTCGCCGAACTCCACGATCAGAATTGAGGTCCAGTTCCAGCTCCAGCAGCTGAGCGCCGACGGAAGAAAGTCGTTTCGAGCACTTCGAGAGCCAGTGCCAGAGCGGCCACGGCATGAAGACGCTCTTTCGAGCCTTTGAATTGCACCAGGCTGGCTGCTGACATCTGAAGTGCCAGCAAGGCTGCAGGGCGGTTGTCTTGTAGGGGCTCATGCGCAGCAGCTGGACAATGGCGGAGAGAAAAAGTCGGTTTGACACAGGCAGTTTGGCTGATCGTTGATATGTATTGCCCTGCACTTCTTTCCCACACGCAGCATGCTGACACTTGGTCAGAGCATAGCAAGACAACATCAGCACACTGCAGGATGTCAGCTGCATGGCTACAACTTCCACAGCCCTGTAGAAAATCAGTGGAAGCTCAAGTCATTCAAGAGTCACAATCAACTTTCGTGCACATTGAGCAACCACTGCATTCAGGGAGCCTGCTCGACACATGGCACCATGCCACGATACAGAGCTCGCTTTGCACAAAGTAGGATTTTCCGGCTCTCCAAGCCCAATTACCGACCCGAGACATGGGGCAGAAGCCTGGTCGGCTGCGTGGGCTTCCCAGCATTTCACTGCATCACGAAACGACCTATGTCGAGTTTACACTTGCTTCTTCGCGGTCCGATACAGCTGGTTTGGTCAGAGGACGCTGCCACGATGCTGCCAGAGACGCAAAGGCCCAGCAAGTCCCGCCCGCAGAACAGGAGCAGGAGACCAGAAGCTCCGACAATGGAAGCTTTGTCATGCGAATTTGCTTCGCGAGAGGAGATGCCCGACCGGTCTTCACCGAGGCCGTATCATTTCAACATGTGCTACTCCCTATGATACCCAATGACAACAGCAGATGAATCTTGGTTCGTAGACTGTCCGGTTTCAGGTTGATTCTGCTGGTCAAGGGTGAACCGCCTCAAGGAAGCAAGGCACAGCCCGCCTTGCCCGCAGCGTGCAAGGAAGCCGACTCTAAAGTCTCAGTGGTCATTCAGCAAGCACTGATTCCACTTGTGCTTGGTACATTTCTATTCTGTGAGGATTGGCATGGCTCATTTCCTGCCGCAGCCATCGTTGACGATCTACCTCTTTAGCTTTGTCCATTCCCCTGCTTAGCTGTAGCGTGTCCCGCCAGTACTACCCTTCTTCCAGACCTTCCGGAGGTGTTGATAGTTGCTGTCACTGCCAGCCGTAGACCTAGCAGCTCCATGACCATCCATGACCATCCATGACCGCGCTACCACCATGCTACCTGCTACCACCACGCCACATATTGTAGGTTCTGTACAGCTGTCGCAACATCTTACAGTCTGAGCTTTGCTCATGACTCCGTGTCCACCGAAAAGCGCTGTCGATCAAGATCTACTGAGGCCTGGCACTGATATGCTTGCAGAAAGGCCGACACTGCCAAGAGAGAGGGACTGTGGCCCAGTGCTTTCCGAGAACCAAAGGCACTGCCGACGAAATTCAATGCACTCCGCGTTCTCCAAGCAAGAGGCTCCGGGCGCTGTCGCACACTATCTCATCCATTACTACTCGTACCGGTAGCCATTCTGCACACGACTTGTCCGTATACATTCGACCCGAAGGCCGACCCGCTGCTCGGGAGATCGCAGCATGCCTGCAAGAGTTTTGTTGGAGGTGCTTGCCTGCCTTCTTCGCACATTCAAGCTTCTAGCATTTGCTCTGGCATTCGCTCACCCCATGGACTCGGTGTTTCAACGAGACGGGGCCGCAATGGTAGAGAGATCCTTGTGAAGGACCCGTGGCATCCTTCGGGACTGGCTACTGCCGTGTTTGCTTCCGCCGGTTATGATTCTGGCGAATCTCGGTCCCGAAAGCCAGCAAGTTTGTAGAATTCACGCCTTCTGTAGTTTTGCGAATCACAAGAAGCCCTGATACTCTGCAGTCTTCCTGGTCTGCAGAGATCAAGGTCAGCCTCGTTGATCCGCTCCTACGCCTGCATATATATGGGAAATCTAAGGCACATGTGCCACACCGGAAGGTTTGATTCGTTTTGTTGCGCTGTCGGATTGTTTATAGCATCCCGGCACAGCCCCTGTACAGTTGCACTATAATGTACACCCAGCCAAACCCCCATTCTAATTATAATGTCTCTATCAGCGTTTCCAGTGACTGTAGAGATTCTGGCGGCAGTGCTTGCAGTTTCGGCTTGTCGATCCTACTGTAGGCATTGACTTCAGCTTGCAGGTGTTCAGGTCAGGCAGTAGCTCGGTGGCGTAGTATGCGCTGCTCCAAGATAACATGCAGTCTTGTGGAGCCTGGGTGTGCCCCATCCAAGGTAGCAACCAGCACCTGATGCAACCTGCCGTTTTCCCGCATCCATTTGTGCTTGTGACGATGCATTGCTTCTGTTGCGGCCTGGTTGCAGCTAGGACAGTGCGTAGACGTTGAAACCAAGAGAACAACTGAAAGTGCCCACCGCCCAGGTTCCTTCTTCTCCGGCGCCCTTCTGCTTTGCAAGCCGTCGCTGTTTCCTGCACTGACGGACCCGCAGCGGGCGTTTCTTGTTCTTCTGCAACATGTCACGGGGCTTTCGGCAACCAACATGGCATCGGCAAGTGAACAGGCCATCCCAAGCCCTCCCCAAGCCCCCGAGCCTTACAATTCCGATAGAAACAGCTTCCCAGTCACACCTCCAGGACCAGAAGCCGAGTTGAAGATGCATTCCTTCTCTTGATGTCGCTTCTGCCACTGAAGAAATCGAAGATGCCTGCCCACTCAGTCGACCGTCACCGCCAGGATCCAGACAAGATGGTTGACATCACTCCGCAGTACTACCTCAGGATGCCCACTGAGATGCGTCACGTGAGGGTTCGTTTGTGTTGCGAGTGCGTGGCAAAATGATTTTGAGCGAGAGAGCGAGTGAGAGCGTGAGTGCGTGAGCGAGTCCTTCGTCCTGTGTGGTACGAGACAGCTCCAGCGTCTCGCGTGACACATATAGAAGACAGAATGTCAGCTACGTGAAGCTAAGTGAAACACCGTGGCCCAGTCTGCATTACGTGCTGCCGTATAGGAATTATAGGCCACAGTTGTGGAAGTAGCAAGCTATGTCCAAGACCAGCTGTAGTCGGCAATCAGAGCTTAAGGAGATGGAATCCCAGCTGTCTCAGTGCACAGAGCTCGTCCGCATGCAGTGGTCTGGTAATCTGAGCCAAGACTAGGTGGTCACCCGATGTCACCCTCAATGCCGAAGTCTGGTGGGTCTCACGTGGACTAGTGGATTGCATTAGATGAGTGAGTGAGTCAGTCATTCAATGAGTGCTTGCGTGCGTGCGTGAGTGCGTGTGTGCGTGCGTGTATGGGTGTATGTGGCAAAGATGCCTGGCTAGCTACAGACGTACATAAATACATACAGATGCATAGGTACTTGTGTACATATGCCACAGATGTACATAGCACGCTGCACAGATGTACGTGTGGGCACAGGCACATGGGCATCCAGTCACTAGTTGGCCTGGCAGGGAAATACTTCCCATCGCGGGCTGCTTTGCAGTGTCACTAGCAACTGGGCAGAGATTGAGATGTCCGTCTGACAGCATCCCTTCGTGCACCCATCATCGGCATGCAGAGCGGAACTCCCATCTGCGGGTTGTGCCAATTATGCAATGCTTCGTTGGCGTGCTATGAGGTAACCAGCAACATGGCCTACAAGTACTGCACTGTTGCTTTTCTCCAGATGATGAAGGAGTCCAACATAGCGACATGGCCAAAGGAACCCGGAAGCTGCGATTACATGTCACACCATGCAGCTCAAGGGCGTTTTGTAGAACTTCTGACAGAAGCTTCCGGGTCTTGTGAAGGCTTCTACCTGTAGCAGCTCTTGTCATCGATCAGGTTACCATCTACCTCATGTCGGTGGCGGCCGGCATCGAGAACTTCTCCTTAGTGACTGGCTTAGATTCAACGGCAACGTAGCCAGATTCGCCCTCTGTGGAGGGCAGAGAGTTGCACCCTTGCGGGTGCACATGTCTGAGGTCTTTCGAAGTTCGAAGTTGCTGTGTCAGTCTCGAGTCGCTTTGATTCCCCGTCCGATTCCTGTTCAGTCAAGCTGCGAATGCTACTTTCCGCGAAGTAGGACCTGCCCGCGGAATCCTAGGTTCAGTCCATGATCTTGGTTGCCATGGTGTGCGCGACCTGGATCCTCTGACAACTTAAGCGCACTGGGGCAAAGTCGGGAAGCTTGATGCATGTGCTCCCTAAACGCTGAAGCCATTGGACAAGATTCGGGGGAATTCAGCCAAAAGGCTCTTTTTTCAGGCTTTGGCAGCTCCCATGCCCACGACGTCCTGATCCTGTTATTCTTGTGCTAAAAGCGTCGAGGACATGCGTCCAGGGTGAGTTGCACTTCTCTGCGCTCGGCCTGCTGCTGCAAGCCAGCTCCTCCCTGGCGGAAGCAGTGCCTCGGTTTCAGAGGCGTTCCAAAACTCGCTGGACCCTTGCCTTTGAATCGAAGGCGATCAGTTGTGCCACATCTATCCCAGCTTGAAGCGCAAGAGGTGCACTATCGTGCACGGGGCCTCCAGTTCGAATCAAACCTGGGTAAGACGGACTAGTGACTAGCTCAAGACTGCGACATGGACGAGTGGCATGCTTGCCACAGCCTGCTTCTGCTAAAGTTGGATTTGGGAGCCGCTGGAAGACAGCTTAGTTGCTGGTCCCAGGTTTAGAACGATTGCGCATGCTTGTTCGAGTCTCTCATTTGCGGAACTGTGGTAAAAGGCGTTTACAGAAAGGTGTACCATGGCGAAGCAAAGTCCAGACCGAATCGGCAGGATGCTGCCTCGGGTTGACTGTCAGCTGTGTCGCGTTTTTGTGCCGAAACATGCCCACCAAATAGTATAGGACACAATGACATTCGAAATTACATCGAAGCAGAATGCATTCAAACGACTGCAGCAGCCTCACACTTTGCCGGTTGATCTTCTGCTGAGTGGTTCCAAGGCGAAGACTATCTTTCAGTGTTTGGCTTTGGCGCATGGCTCCGGAAAGAAGTTGGATCCACTGTCAGCAGTGCCGCGGCTGCAGCGAGTGTTCTGCCATCTCCGAAGCCGGATAACCTCCCTAGACCAGGTGCTCGTGATCATGCCTTTGTGCGGTCTCCTGCTGGCAATGGTGATCTTGTTCCACTGCCATGCCGCTGGCTCGCAAAGCGATTCTTGCATCAGTGGCACCACAGGTAGCCGAAGTCTGTCCGACAACATCGACCAAGCATGGGATCAGGGCAGCGAGGAGTGTAGCCTGTGAGTTTGACAGGCTTACGAACTGTCTTTCGTCACCATTCCGACGTACAGCCAGATCTTCGAGCTTCGATGCTGGGCTGCAGCATTCGTTCCATGACTTTCGTGGTGGGCGATGCAGTGCTGGCAGATGCCACGCCACGTCTGAAGTCCAGGCTCTGACTTGGCCTTGAATGTTGCGAACGCGTTTGCTCCCCGACAAAATAGGATTGCAGTGGCAGTGGCTGCAAGGATGTTGCAGCAGTGCTGCAGAAGAATGAGGTTCTCAACGTGCTCATCGCTATGTTCCTGAAGATTCTATCCCCGGTAGCCTACATCCTCACCGGCAACGCAGCTCGGCTGAGACCTCGAGCTCGAGCCCTTCCTTCCCTCGGCCTGCACCACCGGGCCCCTGCGGCTGCAGGGCTGCAAGGCCCTGAGGCCCTATGAGGCCCTAAGGCAGCAGGCCACACATTCACAGCTGAACAGCAGCAACGATGGCTTGGTGTCTCAGGTGAAGGACATTGCCATCGTGCCATGGCCGCAACATGCGTGCGGGCCAGACAAACAGCCTGATCGGAGTGTGCATGGTGCTTGCTGTGAAGGTGGTCATGTCTGCGCTGCTCATGCACGATGCCCGGCAGCAAGTATGGACTATGCGAAGCCCTGCCCGGATCATGGGTGCTGATGTGACGATCCTTCTCTTTCTTCGCCGTTGAGTCGTAGCAAAACGGATCGCAGCAGAACTTTGAGGTAGCTTCAAAGTCGCACGGCGCTTCCATGCTTCTATTTTATGAGCACGGTTCACTTGCAATGAGGAGTCCATCAGCAACCAGCAGATCTGTGGCTTCAGCATGCAGGTTGCTCTTGTGTTGCTTTGGAGCGCTTTGAAGCAGCGCCTTGCCAGCATCAGAGGCCCGCGGCAAAGCAAGACACGTGGAAGACTGCCGAATCATGAACTGAGTTCAATTGCAGATAGTTCTTTCGCTCGTATGTGTTCGGTTTGGCTGCAGCGAATTTGGCAAGATTGGTGCAGCGATCTTTGAGGCTTACAAAGAAGAGCTGCTCGAGTTGAGGCTTGGCGAGCTCGTCTTCCTGATGGTCAAAATCTGCACATGCTAGTGCTAGCATGACTATCAAGACGGAAACCCCATCGTGACAGTAGCTCACTGCGCTTGGTATTTCCACTCTACGTGAAGATCATTGAACCCATCTGGCCTGTTTGATCTCGGAATGTCACGACCACACGGACAGCTTGTCTGGATGCCGTTTGCTTGGGGCATTTTGGGGAGACAAGGCAGCCACTTGTGGCTCCAGCTTGCATATCAGGCCTGTCACCTGCCTCGAGCACCACTACATGTATAAGCCAGGTAAGGATAGGGACAGTTGCAAATAGTTGGGGACTGCAAGTAGAGCTAGCGTTCCACGGCCACCCCTTACTCCTGAGGGATGCTTGAGGCAGGCTGTGAACAGTCGTACGTGGGCTTGCCATGTGTCCGGCATCGCATTGGCAGAACACTGTAGTCGAGCAGAGCGCATCCCGGCAAGAGAAATCCAGGCTGCGGTTTGCAGGCTTTGGTTTCGTTATTTTGGACAAAGCAGGAACTTGAAGCTTTCGTCGCATCCAAGGGATGTTGTTCTGGACGTTGGCCACCTTCACAGCTCCCGTGCTCGGCGCCCTCCCTCGACAAGTGCAGGCAACAACCCACTCGTTGACGACTTGCTGTGTCCAGCATGGAAGGGTGTTTCGTGTGCATGTGCCAGCAGTGCGTGAGTACATTTACAAGGAATGTAGGGGACTCGGTTGGCGATTCCAGGTTCTTGCGGATGGATCCGTGCACGCCTTCTCTCACCGTGGCCCAGCTTGAGAAGTCCTAGCTGTGAGTATAGAGGAGATGTTGGAGTTCCCGCCTTCCCTCGCTGAGTTGGGCCCTCTGCGAGCCTGCTCCGCCGGCAAAGCGCTCTGAAAGGCCCACGGCCCACGCGCGATGTCTGCTTCAGAATCTTCAGTGACACTGGAAGTTGCACACGCAAGTCGCTCGAAGTGTGTAATCGCCGAGAGCGCTTCACTGCCTCTCTGACACTTCACTGCACGTCGACTTTGCTGCGTGTGGAGAACGTTGCTGAAGGCTTGAGCCGCTCGACGCCTTCGCCTTCGATCGCAGCAAACGTGAGCAGCTCCTTGGCTGAAGAGTTTTCTCTGCTACGAGCCACTGGCACCCTCAGAGCTTGAGGCGGTCTGGCCGGTGAGCTGGCGAATGTCACGAACTCCATTGATCACCTGCAAGGTTCCTGATGCGCTGAATATTAAGTCGGTGCGGACCTACGGAACTACGGCGACCGCAGGCGACGTCTCCTCGGCAGAGGTGATGCGCGTTCGTCTCGATGGTCACGGCAGCTGGGCCGACGAAAGGAGCTTGGGACCAACAGCCTGAGACGACACTTCTCAGGCGACACCTTGGAGATTGTGAGCACCATCATTTTTACTATGACAGTAAGTGCCGCTCGGACATGATATCTCGAATCGACGTGCGTTGTGACTCCGTCTCGAGTCTCGACAGGTGTGGCTGGTGGTCGCCTTCAAAATCCTGAGCTGGCTTTACCCTGCACTCTATTCTCAAAGAGACTTGTCCGGAGAGAACTGCGGCAGCTGCTAAGGGCTTCGTGTGACGTGCCTCTGAGGAGAGCTTGAGCAGAGAGGCTGCAGTGAAGGTGTCGGACTTGCCGAAGCCATCGCAGAGCCGTGGCAGGAACATTCAGCAAGGGCCGAACGCGGTTTCGGCTTTCCCGGTCACATGTGGGCCCGCCGCCCCCCCGCGTGGTTGGCTGCATCTCTCCACAAAGCTCTGCATATCCGGCCTTACCAAGGATGTAACGTCATTGTGGCACCAGCTTTCCGTTGCAGCCTGTCGCGATGGTTTGTTTGCAGCTACTTTGGAGCTCTGCACTGAATCACTGAAGCTTTTGTCAAGGGGTCGTTGGAGCGTTGTTCGCAAGAGTGAACGAAGGCAATGTTCTTGAAGGAGGAGGATGTCCTGGAAGTCCAGGGTTTGGACGCGTGGATGCACATGCAGTTTCAATGGTTGCCGGGCTTGCATTTAGTGCTCGTCCACGGTCCGGCCGATCCGGCTGACTCCGGCTGCCATTGAAGTTGTGAAAACGGGTCACCAAACTGTTCGGCTGCTTGGCTGAGGCTGTCATTGCGGATCATCGCATCCCTGTGTTTGGTTCCAGCGACTCGGCTGCTGCTTTTCGACCTGATCATGGTGTCGGCACGGATTTTTGAATTGGCTGCTTTCGAGACGGCAGGTCATCGTCTGCCCCTTGCATTGGACCCACGTCCAACCTCAAAGCTCTGAGCTTTTCTCACGGTTTAATCTGGCGGTCAACGAGGATCGTTACTTCGCCACCTGGCAGTGACAAAAGAGTCAGGGCATGCCTCTGCATGCTGCATGTCATGCTCCATGCCATTTTCAGTGACCGACAGCCGGCTTCACTTCAGGTTTTGTGGATCCACGTCGGAGTTGTTTGGGCCGTGGTGACGCTGACGACTCGTCCCATGGATCAATGGTACTACTCATAGTCAAGACTGCACGTCGCAAGTATGACCTGGAGACAAAAGGACAGCTGCACTTGGCCATGAAGCAGCCGCACGGCATTGAAGCCGCAGCAGCGTAGCACTGTTGCATAGACTGAGTCTTTCGCTGTTCTGGACTCCTCCGAGGTTTGTTCCTGTCCGATACCGCTGGCTCAGTCAGATGGACTTCCCGCAATCCACCACCGTCTTGGTGCCTTGGCGTCTGTTCCAAGACGCCTGGTTGGTGTGGCAGCGGCAGCACCGCCAGCACTCTGATAGGTTATGCAGTTATACACTAGGGAAGGGACCCTTGCCAGTCCAGACCTGCTCATGCTGCTCATGCGCCGGCAACGACATCTTTTGACACTCTTTTTTGCCCGCATAGCACAACATTAAAAGAAGAGCGAGCCAGAACCTCCCGAAAAAGAACTGAGCCATTCTCTCTTTGGTTCTGTCGGCTCTGTAGCTTGTGACTTTCACCCCTTTGGGATGCTACATGCAGCTTGGCTTCGTCTCTCTTGGCTCGGCTTCCCGTCAATTGGAGAAGGAAGGAACGACCAGTTCAAGTAAAGGGAGCAGAGAAGGAAGTTCGCAATATCGCCAGCACAGACATGCATGCAACCTATAGTAGCATTCACAACAGTCGGGAATGCTGATGTGCAAGGTTCGCTGACTTCACAGCCTCACAGAAGCTTTGCCAGTTGTAGTGGCAAGTAGTATAGCACTTCCAAATTTTTATTACTTGACAGGACAAAAGTGCGAGCTGTGCAGCTTTGCAGTGATCAAGAGCACAACAGCATCTTCCAGATTTGCTTGCACAGACCAACTGTAGCTTCAGGCATTGCAACTGCAACAAGCACTGAAGTACAGCAATTTGCAGTATCGGGGCCGGCACAAACTTCACACTTGTTGAGGTTGCTCGTCTTGTCTGAGGTGCAGGGCATGCCGGAGTCCATGTCGTCAGATGCACGCCCCGACCCTACAAGGTGTTTTTCCTTTTTCCGCTACTGCAGCCGCTTCGTAGCATCTCTTCCCTTGAGGCCTACAGTCTTACTTTGCTGGCCTTTTTGGGGACAATGCCGTCGTGCGTTGCTGCTCTGCCGGCAGATATGAACCAAGACTGTGCGGCTCTTCGAATGGGCTGATCTGGCGGATTCAGCTCTCTTGGATGCTCCTTTGCAGGCTATGTCGTGCGCAACACTCGGCTGCTGCAAAGGAAGCTGGAGAGGCCTGTTCGCAAGCCAATCCGGTGTTTCTCTGCGGGACTCGGGACGCTGCCAACGCCGTCAGGCTTCGCAAAGCTGAGCGGGAACTTGCAAAGGCAGTCCTGAGGCTCGGGGAAAGCAAGGCTCAGTGTTGCTTGGGGGCTGCGGGGCGGGCAGGACCCAGGCCGGAGGTTCGGACCCGGCATCTTCGGAGTTGGTGCAGAGCCTCCGCTGCAAAAAAGGCTGAGCCCGAGAAATCCAACGTGGGGGGAGAGCGCGCTTCCTCAGGTTTCGGCGCGAGTCACTTGCAGACATCAAGGAGCTTTACCGCATCAGCACTTGTGCTTGCAATCCTTCGGGTTGCCTGGCATACAACATTCCGAGGTATGATGGTTTTTGTTATTCCCGCAGGAGGAGGTGACTGCCGAAAGAGTTCGGTTGGGGCGGCTGAGCCATGCACTGGACCCCGATGCACCCTGGCCGACACGTATGGCACCTGAAGACGGCTCAAAGCAAGGCCTAAGGCAAGTATCAGCAGACCTCTGCAGGTCTGCACAAGCACCGGCTTCGTGACCTTCCGCACCCGATTGGACATGAGACTCGAAACTCGGCGAAAAAGAACGCGTTGCGACCTGTCCACTCATGCTGCCCGGCTGAGGCAGCGCGGGAACAACTCGGAACGGATGCGTTTGCCCTTGTCTTGCAGCAGGTGAGAGCCAATGGGAGAGCCAGCATGAACGTTTCTCCTCACCCTGTACCCTGTGCAGGCACCATCACCTATGGATGTGTCCTACGTGCCTAAGTTGGAGATTATGTCTCTATGTAAGCATCACAGGTCGAGAAGGGATTGAAGGCGCCCGAGCTTTCAAATCGTGCAGGGGCAGCAAACAGTGGTTCCAAGAGCATGGGAGTCGCACCTCATTTCCTACATGGTCTTCTTTCTAGTATGACGAGCTTTCGACTTTCGACATGCTCAGTCTCAACCAGCCGAGGATGCGCTGATCATGCGTCCGAGTTTTACACTCCAGCGCTTGGGAGCCCTCAGTGACCTCTGCTGCATCGGTTATCATTGCGCATGTTCTAGGAACATTTTGGAGGTGCAAGTGTTATGCTCAGGCACATTCGGGGTGTTCTTGGCCTTTGTCCCGGCCGTGACTTGTCTTAAGTACCTGCGAATCATCTCTAGCTAGGAGCATGGTGCCACGGTAGCCACTTCGCACAATCACCCAGTCCAGGTAGTCTTCGTCTCCACTTTGTTGAGCCCCGGCAAGGTGAGATAGACTCCACCGTATCACAGCTCTGTCACCTGCCCGACGACTCAGCTACCATCCAAGGAACTTGAATTCCTGGCAGCAGGTTTTTCCGGCCATCGGCAGGTCTGCAGCAAGAACGTCTCTCGATGCACTGAGTCTGAGTCATGCTCGTTGCAGGCTGAGGCACTCGGTTCCCATCGCCATGGAGATGTGGCTTGACTTGAGGGCAGGAAGACCAGCCACCAAGACGGAGCGTGCGGTTCATCTCAGGCTGGAAGGTGTCTTGGCAACGCTGAGTCTCAAGCTCATGCTTAGCTTCATCCCAGCGGTGCTACTGAGCCTTGACCAACAATGCCTTCTTGAGCCTCTTCGATAAGATCTCTGCAGCAACCTGAAGCCGAGGAGACTGGTCAGGGCCTTCTCCAAACCAGCGGCTCGTCAGCACCAGCTTTGTCCGGTCCGGCTTGCACAGATACAGCTGTCAAGGCTTTGGAGATAGGAAGAACAGGAGAAGCCCACACCTTGCAGAGGTGTCCAACTCATCCGCCCAGCTCCAGCTCCAGCGCACCTACTTTGCCTTCCTGGTTGTCTTCGTTCTGCTGGTGACCTCTTTTGCGCAGGAAGCCCGAGGGTCTGCCTTAGCTTGCGGACCTGGCAAGTCTGATGTTGAGCGCCAAAGCTAGAGGGCCCCACAGTCGAGGCATTTGTAGATGCGCCTTTCTGCACATTCCCAGGGCCTCATCACCACACTGCTCTTCGTGGCCCAGCAGCCGACAGCCATTGTTCCGCTGCTGGCCAAGTCATTGCCTCTTACATCCCGCTTCTATGCAAGCTGGAGGCAAGAAGGCACTGCATGAGTTTTTCTACGACTTGTCACGATGGATATTCATCTCTTTTCTGCAGTTGACATGGCCCGTTCTCTTTTCTGACAAACGCCACACAACATGAGAAGCCGAGGTGAATTACTTGGTGCTTGGGCACGGGGCTCGGTAAGCGTGCTGCTCATCCAATCCGATGCGGGAGGCCGAAGCCGTGAGATCTCAGACTTTTATCTCCGGGTTCCAAAATCATCCAAAGCCAACGCCTCCTTCTGATTCTTGTCATGCCCACAGTGCCTGGGACGCTTCCAAGGTGGGGCTCGTGCATGTGTGAGCTCCTGCGACCTGCCCCGCTTGCTCGGGCCCGAGCGCAGCCTCTGCAGAGAAGCGTGGGGCAAGCAGATGCAAGCAGCGTGCAGATGTCTGACTTCCGTTTCACAGAGGTCCTCTTCCTGAGCCTTCGCGAGTTTACTAGCCAGGACGACGCCAGGATCCGGGCGGAGGAGGAGCTGCACGAGCAGCGGCAATCGCTCGACGATGCTTCGCTGTTTCGCATAAAAGTGTGGATTCTGGATGCAGGATTCAGTGCTTATGGGGACTCGAGCAGCAAGATCGACTTTCATGCTGGTCATTGCGTTGGCCCAGAACTCACTAGAGTTGTCTAGATCCAGATCAAACATTGCTCGCGCTTACAAGAGACATTGAGGTCTTTTGCTCCATTTGCCCTCTTGTCCTCCTCGTTGCCTTTGTCTACTTCCTGGTAGAGCGCGGGGAGCCAAGCCTGCATAGCCTGCACTACGCCGGCCACGACCATTCGCAGCAGATGCTCATGCTGCTAGCAGGTTTCGCCCACGGCTACCTCTTCATGGCTGCTGAGCCTCGTCAAGGCGATACAGGAGCAGTCGCTTTCGATGTCATCTGCTCCTACTTGCCTTCCGTGTTGGCGCGACTGCAGGAGGCGAAATCTTTGTGCAGGCGCTCAAGCAGGCAATTCGAACCTGGCGTGCGTATGCTGACCTGGCAGACTTCTTTTCCTCCGTATCTTCAGGTTCACGTGGGACTGATGATATACGTGCTGCTCATGGTGGGAGTGTTGGGCGCACGTGGAGCTGAATTTAGCCTGCCTCTGGTGGTCCTGCTGTTGCTCGACGTCTCTGCACAAACTTGTCCGGACATGACGTGCGGTAGAGTGTGACTATACAGCAAGTGAAAGTCAGGCTTGTGGTGATGTGGTCCCTCCATGGCATGGAGGGCTACTTGTGGGCGAACTTGCCGTTGGACCGAGCGGCCGTCTCAGTCCTCTGTGAGTGATGCGCTAGCCGAACACAGTGATTAGTTCCACTGGGGAAGCAGTCGTGTTGGACCTTCAAGTTGGCATTCATGGTTTGGTCGGGAAGCGGGGTGCTAATCCCGCCTCCTTCATCGCCGGGAAGGGGAAGGATTTAATTTGAAAGTGCGACTGGCCGAACCAGCGACCCCAAAACTTATCCCAACTTTCTCGCGTCGCTCCCGGATGCACAAAGCCGAAGGGCAAGCTCCCAAGAAATTCAAACCAGGGCTGCCACCCAGCGGCCGGCGTAGAGACATGCAGAGACACTGGCAGTCGCAACCTTCCGGAGCAGGCAGAACAAGACTACTGAAGACCGTTCTCTCAAAGACAGCAGGAGTTCAAGGGTAACTGTACTTCAACCTTCGAGAAGGAGAATGCGCACTCTACCTGCTGAAGGCGAGGAAGATCAAGAGCGACACCCTGGCACAATTCCTTGCCCGACTATCACAAGTTGCCAAATTCGGAATAATTTCGATGCAAATCCAGACGGAAAGTTGAATCCTCACGCGAACTTTCGCTGCGTGTCGCATATCCTGACCGCATAGCCGTTGCAAGGCTCTCGTCAGTTCCGTGCTGTCAAGTCATCTTGGGCTAGTTTCTTGCAGTCTTTCGGCCGTCTGTAGTCGAGCTCAGAACCGATCGGCCCTTTCGTGGACCTACAGCAAGCCGTGTGCTACCGAGGTGTTTGACCTGGATGATGCCGATCCGGCGTTTGAGGAGGGCCTTGAACACGAGGCGGATGCCAGCTTTACAGCCTCATGACCGTCAGTGCGAGTGAAGAGATGCGATCGATGAAGCAGTCTCTGACCGCATTTTGCACGAAGCCTTTCGCTCCGAGCCTTGCGAAAGCAGTCGTGTCATAAATAGGGCATTTCGCGGGCTGGAAGTATGCGGTTTGCGGAGTGTAGAGGTGAACAGTAAAACCGAAGCCCGCAGGTTTATGAGCAAGCGGAGTGCCGGGCCGCAGAGCCATCGCCAGCACCGCCGCAGATCGTCGTGTCCAGGAGCCTTTTTGCGGGTGAGTGCAAACGGACGTTGGAATTTGCAGTCCTGCCACCGCCCGTGCCGCGAGGGCGTCGCTCAACATGCCTACGACGCCCGTGGCACCGCCTGCCGCCCCCTCCGTGGCACCGCCTGCGAGATCGCAACCCAGCCGTCCCAGCCCCGGCTCTCCGACTCTGCGGCGCCAGCGTGCAGGTCGGCATCTGCTCGCAAACGCAGACCCTGTGTCTGGCCTGAAAAGCACTCCTAGCTGTTGGCAGGTGCAGGGAAACCGCCCGAAGAGACTGGTACAGAAAGAAGCAACCAGGACCATGCTGAGCCCCAGTCAGAGGCATGCCTGCCAGACTGCATCTGCAGGATCAAGAAGAACACGAGTTCTGAGCTGTGCCACCTCTCCGGCTTGGTCCCCTTTTGGCGGGTCCAAGCCGGGGGGATGCATCGTGCGAAGCTGCATGCTCACCAAACAACAGCAGCTCTCAAGGGGTACCGCCAGCAGAGTTTACGCAAAAGCGCTCCATCCTCTGGCTCGAAAGGTGCTGCTGGATCCATAATATGACGACCATGGACGCAATGAGCATGCACCGAACAAGCTAGCGCACGATATTTATTGGATTATCTCACAGGCTGCTACCTTACCTTCTGCAGCAGTCGTCATGCCATTATTTTCGAATCCAGTGCGGGTGAGCTTCGCGACTTCACGACAACTTCCAGTCGCAATGGCCCGTTCTCTCACTTTCTGCACGGGCCGGGCAGCCTGTACTAGTACGTACAGTATTCGCGCGCCCATGCCATGATGTGCCATGGACTCGGAGGAGGAAGAGGATGCTGTTGGGGCCCTGGCGGAGAATCGGCGGACTCGTCTTCAGATCGTTTTTGCTGAGGACTGGTTCTGTGTGCTGCAACCGGTGGCGGTGCGTGCAGCACCGCGCGAGAGCGCTGCCCGGCGTGGTTCGCTGGTGGCTGGCCAGAGGATACAGGCACGGGTGCTGAGAGGCCATGACTCCTCACGCTGCTGCTCTTGAGAGGTGCGGCCTGGACGAAAGCTGGATGCAGATGGCAAGTCTTGGATCAGGCAGGGTGCAGAGAGATGATGATCATCAGCCGTGCATAGCTGACGACCGAGCTGCTAAGGGTAGCAACCGAGCACGACAGTGAGCATCATAAGGCTCACGCTGCTGGAGCTCTGGAGATCTTGCCGAGCCGATTCCTGAGACGGGCTTGCTTGGGCTATCGTGAGGCATTCAGTGTGCAGGAGTTTTCAGCCGTTGCTGCTTGGAAAGTCGTCTCGTCCTTTCGATAAGCGGTAATGAGGCCACTTCCAGAACTGCTCGGGGCTTCGTGCCTTTGGCAGATCAAGGTGAGGACTCTGCTCAGTTGTATTCCAGTCTGACCATCTGGGTGCAAAGGCTTTCCGGTTCTTCGGGGTCCCCTGACGACCGGCGAGTGCCCTCTTGACTCGGAGCAGGCCTGGTTAGGTTCGTTGTGTGTGTGTGTGTGTGTTTGTGCATGCGTGCGTGTGTTTCCGGGTTGTGGGCCTGACAGGTTCAGAAAGTTTTCTGCCAAGATCGATCGAATCGGAGGGATCGCTTGGAATGTTCTCTGCAACTCTTGTTGTGAACGAGATGGCAGACAATAGGATCGTACACACCGGCACATGCATCAGCCGCCCCGATTTCCGCGAAACGCAGAATTCAGAGATCGAGAATCGGTCAGCGTGACCGTATGAAGGGCGTGATGCAACGTCTTCAATCTGATAGCATCCTGTGCACGGTAACCGGCCGTATGCAGTTCTTTCTTCCGGGAACTGGACTGGACAAGACTCAAGTACCGAGGAGGCGGGGCGTGGTTGATATCGATCAAGTTGCGCCTTACCGACCAGGACATAGCAGCAAAGCATTGTATGCTCAGATCAAGGACATCAAGAGATTTCTGTCAGGCTGCCTCAGGGTACCATGCTTCAGGCAAAGCCTGTTTCACAACGGGCGTGCTCTCTGCAACGAGAAGGTTGCATCATTGCCACCCAGACACACGCATTTGTAGCACGAAGCATGCACCAACGGGGACCCAACATCCCCGAACAAGAGTGGCACGAAGCCGATACAGACACACTTCGAACAGTCAAACATGCATGGCATTTGTCCTGTGGGAAGACGGGCATCTGGACATCGTCAGGCTCTTGCAGCGATGGTTTTTTGGATGGCGGTTATGAACCAAACGTTTTAGACATGAGAGACGGTGGAAATCTTGACGGTGTCGGGGTGCTTGAAGGTTTGCTCGACATCACATTTCCATTCCTGCGTACATTAAGCAGGGAAGAGGTGGAGCCATGGCAGGGGACACAAGCCAGAAGA